TTTTTTTTTTTTTTTTTTTTTTTGTCTCTCTTTTTCAATATTTGTTTGGATTCTAAATAACTGTCTCTCTTTATCATTAACTTCAATAATTTAATACTGAAGTAGTGACAAAACTATAGGCACAAATTTTATGGAAAACATTCCAATATTATTCCAAAATCACAAAATTTCAAACAAATTATTATTTTGATATTATCCCATTTTTACAGTGTGTAGCTTCATCAAATTCTCCGGGCTAATATGAGTACAGCTAAATATAAGTAAAAAATATACTTTCGACAAAGAGGTCAAAGATTTAAATCTTCATTTCGTGTTAGTTTAGGGAGAATTATTAAGAAAATAATGGGATTGGAAAAGTAATAAGAAGATGAATCAAAGATGTAAACATGGGACAAAAAAAGTGGTCTAAAACGTGATGTTAAAGCTTGCTAATAATGTCTGCAAAACCCCATCTTTTTACTTATTTAGGATCCGATCCAAAGCAAAAATAAATAAATAAATAATATTAATTATTCCTTTTTTTCCTTTTTAATCTTCCTCGTCACGTATGTTTATATTTTAAAAAAGCTTAATTTGATGAGGAAGGAACTGAAAACCAAGCTGGAAAAGAAAATGACAAAAGGAAAAAAAACAGATGAATCTCTGTGTTTTTCCTGTTCTTCTTTCTCGATTTTTATTATTTGTTATTTATTATAATTGGTTTTGGTCTTCTCTGCCATTTCAATCATTTCCTCATTTGGTCTATTATAACTTTTTTTTTTATATTTATTTTTTAAATAATTGCTGTCATAAGTAATTTTATTGGTAAATTTTAATTTTAAAATCAGAAAAACATGTTATAATGTTTGGTTGTGATTTTGTTAATAGTGACTTATTTTATATTGATGTTAATATTTACATTTTTTTATTATTAGAGAACTGTTTACACATTTGTATGATTTAAATTGCAAGTAATTTTGTTAATCTAAACTATTTGATAAGAGTTTAATTAAAAGAGAAAAAAAAATAATTGAATGTTTCTTTAACTAGTAATTATCTATAATGCATTAATATAAAAAGATACTTTGATTTATTTATTTATTGAAAATTAAAAATTAGAATTCGTTAAATATTCAGTATATTTTGTATAATCGTATTATTAAATTGTTAGATTTGCTATGTTTTTATATTGAAGGATTATGAGGGCCGTGATAAGTTTAGCCCACTAGGTGAGTGGGCTAAGGCCCAAAAAATGGGCCTCATTTCTACCATAATCGGGCCCATTAACAAGTCATCATTCTACCATTTTTCTTTTTTCCTTTTCTCATGCTTGAAAATAAATTCATTTCCTAAAAACATATATTTAAAAAATTAACAAAAATTCAATTAATCCATTCTGTCACCCTCTCGCCATTTAATGTTATTTTATTTTATTTAAGGGTTTGATGGATAGATATTATAAAGTTAAATAGATTTTTTGATCTAAAATATTTATATAAATGATTGAGTATTCAAATTTGCTAATTACTTGAGTTAGCTATTTGGGTAGCACGATTATCGAAAAATTCTTATGATTAACACGATTATTAAAAATAGAATTATGATTAGGACGGTTATCTTAAAAATAAAGACGTGCACTACCATAACTCCAAATTTGACGTGCTTTCAAATTAGAGCATAAATAATGTATCAGATGATGGTCTTGATTTAGTGGCGTTGACTGTGAGATACGATGTCGTATCATAACAGATAGGATATGATATATTCCCATAAGGACTAAGGAGGGATTAATTGATATGAAAAAATTATTCATCGGGAGGACAAAAATTTAAATATTGTCTTTATCTCAGCTTTCATTTGTAGCCATCCATATGGAATAATTACAAAAATAATAATAATAATAATAATAAAATATAAAAAAATTATAAAAAAATTAAATGAAAAAGTTAAAACAAGGCCCATAATCCTTGGGATTTTCCCAATTAATCCTGATTTTGTCACGTGAACTGGTTTTTTTAAAAAAAAAAATAATAATTTTGAAACTATTTTTGAATTTAAAAAATAGATTATAAAATGAGAGTGATGAAAAGTTGGAAATTGGAGAGGGGTACTGAAAGCACCTTATCCTTTAAATTTTAGAGAGAGAAAGAGAAATGGAATTCACAGAGAAGGAAGAAGGTTTGGTGAAGGAATCATGGGATGTTTTGAAGAAGGATTTGCCTCTCTACAGCCTTCATTTCTTTACTCAGTAAGCATTTTTCCTTTTATTTATTTATTTATTTATTTATTTATGGTGTTTCCTTTGTTTATTATTTTTACTGTAATAATGGAAGGATATTGGAGATAGCTCCAGCAGCAAAGGATATGTTTTCTTTCTTGAAGGGTTCTGAAGAGGTTACTCAGAACAATCCTAAGCTTAAGGCTCATGCACTTAAGGTTTTCAAGATGGTGAGTTTTGTGTGTTTTTACTACCAAGTTAATTTTACAACATTTATAGAAAATTCCACTAATAATTAGTGGGTTAGATTAAAACATAGTTTCACAAATGGGTTTCAAGCTCAGTTTCATAACTCCAAACGCTACAAAATGTAAGCTCGAACTCAACCAAATGCTTGGATATAAGAGGATTAATGTTGAAATGTTGTTGGATTGTAAACTAAAAAGAAAAAAGTGAAAAAATTGCAGACATGTGAAGCAGCCATTCAGCTGCGAGAGAAGGGGGAAGTGGTGGTCTCTCAGACTACCCTACAGTATTTGGGCTCTGTCCACCTTCGTAATGGAGTCATTGATCCACATTTTGAGGTAACCTTTCAAATCACTTAATTTTTTTAATTTTTTTTAAAGGAATGGGTCACTCGAAATCGAAATTTAAAAATTTAAGAACCTATTAAATAATTATTCAAAGTTTAGGAACCGAACCACTCTAATTTTAATAATTTAAAGTGGCAACTAAACCTGAAATGTCGAGGCATTCAGGTGGTGAAAGAGGCATTGTTGCGAACCGTGAAGAAAGGAATGGGAGAGGAATGGGGCGAGGAAATGGGCAATGCCTGGACCCGGGCTTACGACCAATTGGCTTCAGCAATCAAAGCTGAAATGAAATAGAAAAAGAAAAAGGGGGGGGTGTTTGAATATGCTTTATTTGTTTTGGCGATATTGGCGATGGGGCTCAAAGCTCATAATCTTATGTCCTTTTAATTTCCTTGTCAACTCTTTATACTGCCATTTCATTCCCAACCTTTCTTTGCTCAAGTTATTTCTTCATTCAAATTGTCATATTTGAATTGTTGATTGCATATCTAAGTTCATTAAAATTTAACTTCTTGTTCACAAATTTGATCTCAATCTAGCTGTGGAGAGAAAAAAAAACTTAAAAAAGTTCTCAAATCATTAGAAGATTTGAACCTGTGATCTCAAAGGAAAGAGTTCAGATTTTAACGCTACGAGCATTAGCGAGTACTAGGCCTGAAGCATTGGGAACTAATAAATTGAAACGAAAAGAATTTTCGGACTTACATTTGCTTTTATTTACGTGAAAAAAAATGATGAATCGATCATGCAATGTGGCATTCCAATTATACAACGCAAGATAATAATGTTACATATATAATCTGAGAACAACAAAGAGGCACCTACCGGACGCTGCTAAATCTCACGGCTCCCATCTGTGTTATAAGAAATAAAGGACTTACCAACATGACTACCTCCCTCCAATCGGATTGAAGGAGCTCCACACCTAACTGAATTTACTTGTTTCTGCCTTTTCCTTTCTTTCTACAATATCGAGTATGCCCGGATGACTTCGGCGATCGGTGCTCGACACAGTGGGCACTTGCCACCACCTCGGACCAACTCATTGGCACATTTTGAACAAGTACACATATGTCCGCATCTGCAGTAAGAATTCCATTCCATTTAACAGTTGGTATCTTCAGTTCATTCCGCATCATTCAATTAGTTAAGATATATATTATCAGCTCATTCTAAAATTAAGAGTCTGAAGGCATACCTGTAGAGGAGAGAGTCGATATGGCTGTCACAGCAGACGCAACAAGTCCCCTTCCTCACGTGACACCATTTAGAACCATCTTCTGATGTCTCAGTGGCTAGACCTACATTGGGAGGCAATTCGTGTTGAGGCGTTTCTCTACAACATACAAGAACAATACGTTGCATTAAAATGTAAACTGACCTTTTTCACCAGCAGATCTGTTTAATGCTGCAGAGACTTCTTGTCTAACAGATCGCTGCAACTCTAGCTGCATATCCATGCAAGCCTCCAACATTCTCTGCATGTGAGTCATGCCATGTTGAAGTCTTGCCATGTCTGCTCTCAGATCGTTTATAATCTCCCATTCCTGCTAAAATCAGTAACGAATCTTATCACAAACCCTCAAACCAGACGATCTGTATTCTGAAATAAATAGCTTCAAGGCAAGGAAATTTTTCACAAACGAATATCAGATTTGGTAGAAGAACAATGCTTCTCGGTTAAAGATCAACTGGAATCAATTTTTTTGGATAAGAAATAAACTGGAAGCAATTAAAATCAGACTTGATTAGTGTAGAGTGCCAGTCCAATAAAGCTTCAACTATTTCTTCACCTACTAAGAGTGTGTGTGCTTGTGTGTTTAGAGAGAGAGAGAGAGAGAGAGAGAGAGAGGTAACGCTATTACTTCCAAGATCAATTTTCTACAGTTTCCTGGGTCATTGAATAAATGAACTCCCTCCCCCATAACAAATAGAGCCATGTTAGCCTCCTTTATAGACATTGCCAAATCTAAATCCAGGATAAGAATTAAAAGGAAGCAGCAGCTCACCATTTCTGAACGATTCATGGTATGACGAGACCAGCTGGTATGATGCAGGTCATGGTGCCAGAGTGGTTGAGGTGGAGGAACTGGTGGAGATGGAAGCACCAGAGAGGGTCTATTTACAGCATCATTTTGTACGTCACTCTGTTCATCCCTCTGTTGGTCCTGATCCTGTGGTGGAGAAGCAGGAGCTGGTGAAGGCAAAGTTCTATGCAAATCCCAATCTATGGGAGCACGACCTTGCCTATCCACATACGATTGTATTAATTGATCCAAACTTTCACGGAAACCACTCCGAAGAAGGTTAGAAACGCTTCTCCTACAAAAAGATAAACATCAAATGCATAAATACGTCTATGCCTGCAAATATGAATAATAACAATTATGAGAATGATTACCACCTGCTTAAGAGTTCTCGAAGTTCCATACTATAAACGTTATCATCATCAGGTGGGTGAAACCTGTTGGACCGTCGCACTGGAACAGACCGACGATTTCTAAAATGAGCAGAGGGCCCCTCCGACCAATTTCCAGCAGCTTCTCGAGTGCCTCTCTCATGCCAAACTGCAGCAGGTTCAGCTGGATGAACTTCTCTTCTTTCTGCATTTCCCTGTGTACTGGGTGGTGACCAATCATTAGATGAATTCGCCTGCCAATTTGCTGTCACATCCTCAGCATTATCATCTCTCCACTCAGTGAGTGGGCCAAAAGTTGTCCGTTGCCAGTTTCTTCTACCATCCTCAGAAATTTGTTCGTGCCAGTCCCCATCTTGATTCATATTCTCTACCTCTGAGTTGCTTTCCATGTTTTCAATTTGATCGGGCAGCTGATTGGATTCAGCTACCTGACTCTCAGGCTGTGATTGTACATATTCTTGCTGGACGTTCTGTGAACCATTCGTTCGACCTCGATCATTTCTAGAATCATTCATGTCACTGTTAGTTGCATTATCAGGTTGGTTGTCTGCTTGACCACGAACAATATTTTCCAATCTAGAGCGGAATCCCTCCCTGAGTGATATATATATATATACACACACATAAAAACTATATCATTTCCCAAATAATAATAATCTTGACAAACTTAGCATGAATTATAAATCAGACTGCGAAAATCTGGAAATGTGAAGGTCCTTTTGACATGATTCAAGGCTCACAGGATATTTCAGAAAAATAACTGAGATTAAAAATATATTATGACAATGCTTAGAATACACATAAATACCTATTTTCACAATATATAGTAAACACAAAAGGAAACGAAATGAAACATCCTCACGACACAACATACCTTAAACCAGAAACAGTATGTCGCTGCTGTAACTGAACTAATTCACTTGCTGCCATAGAAGGAGGCCGCTCCTCTTCAACAGTTCTTTCATTTCTCAAAAATCTACCTCGAAGTAATGACTGGGGAAATATAAAGGATTAGTGCTCATATAATAGCTGTGAGTGCAAATAAAATCTAATGGAACAATGAGATGTGGAAGAGATAAATATAAAGCATAACTAAAAATGATCATCAAGATTGTGATGTAATTGAAATACCCACATTTGGGGTCGCTCCAAAGTCTTAAAGGGCTTCACATTCAAATGAAGCAGGGTGCAGAATAATTTAACAGTCAAACTCAAAATCCAATCAATTTTAGTTTTAACCATAAGTGAACTAGAACATTGAAAGGTAGAATAAACAAAACAACATTCACACTTGGCAGCTGACCTGGATTCGGTTGCGATGGGCAAAGTCAGAAACAGCTCGATGCTCCAAAAGCCCTTGAAGTTCACCCTGTCTTTCCCTTTCTATTCTTACAAGTAAATCAAGTACTGCTTGTCTTCCTCGCAACCTTAACAAATCTCTGCGAATGTGTTCATTTTGGCCTTCATCCTGGTCAGCAACCAATTCATCACGGCCTCTATCAACTCGAGCACCCCGTCCAGTCCCTCGATCTTCTCTCCTTTCACTACGACTTCCTCTTTGTTGACTGGTCATTTGCACCCATTCCCTAACAATCCTAACTCGCTCACGTTCTGTTTCCCCAAGCCATTCAGCTCTGGATCTTGTGCTCCTCTCAGAAACATTAGGTGATGGATCAGTAATTCCACTCTCCATCCATCCCCGTACTATTTGCCTCACTCTCTCCCTCTCAACTTCGCCAAGATCAGGAGATTGCTCTCTGGTAGAACCATTGTTTTCATTCCTCACATGCTGCGGTGCAATTTGATCGTGATTCCATGCCCCAAAATCATTTTCACTCTCACTTGCATCAACCACGCTTCCCTGATTCTCACTCTCCCGACTATCAGACATATTTGTACTGGACATAGTGGTAGAAGATTCAACACTTATTTGCTGCCTCAACCTTTCCCTCACCCTCCCACGAGCCCGATTTATCATATGGTCATCCTCCAGCTCCCTCCACATCTGTAATATTGCTGAAGCTTGTGGACATGGAGTCTCAACGGCAGTCTGCTGTCTTGAAGTTGGAGATTGGGACTCCCTTAAAAATGATGAATCAAGCGTTGAAACGGTATGCATTCTTGCAAGTGCCATCAACTCAGATTCACGATTTCTCCTCTCAATTGTCGTTATCATTTCCTGTGCCTGCCGAGCAGCCCAGCGGCTTAAAATTCGAGAGTGACGACGGCGTGCAGCTGAAGACTCAGCTAAATCATCACCCTCGAGATCAGATCGCCTTCTCCTCCGTAGAAGCTGATCACCTTCTTCTTCCTCAACTTCTTGATTGGCAGCAGAACTACACGACGCAAATGGAATACATTCATCCAGATGCCCGCGCATTAACTCCTCAAGTCCACGCTCTAATTCCACTCGAGCATCACTAGAATCAGGCTTCTGTTGTAGCGATTGAAAATCCGTCATCCTCTGCAATCTCTTACCCTAATGCCAGCATCTGGCACAAAACAACGCCCCAAACAAAACCTTCGACCTTCTATCAACAATAACAAAACCATTAACCCTTATCCCTTCCTTCCAGAACTAAAAAAATCACACGTTTGAATTACTCCACAACACAAACCATCCGTAACAATATTTTCGAACCCAATAAAGACATAACATCTAAACAATCGGATTGAAACCGAAAGGGCTCCACAACAAACCACCTGATAAAAATAGAATCCAAAGAATCAATCATCAAAACTGAAATTGAAACGAAGATCCGACGAGAACATTGCACACCCAGGAGCAAATTAGATCAGTTTGAAATCATGAACAGTCAAATAAGAAAGTAAACAAACGGAAGACAAAAGACGATGGGATTAAAACGAGAAATTAAGATTAAACGAGTAGGAATGATGAGATTCACTGGCAATTACAAACCTCTGAAGCTCTTTGCGCGTCTATTTCCTGACCAATCATGAGAAACAAAACCCTAAAATTCCCCCTCACAAAGAGAAAACACAA